TAGTACAGTTCAATAAGCAATAGTTAATTTATTTTGATCCGATGGTGATACTATTGACATTCGTATCATTGGTTGAATTTTTCTCAAAACTATGTGTATCAGAAAATCTAATCATAAAAATATCACTAGGTAAAAGCATGTTTGAAAAGTATATTTGATTTGCATATTGAGTATTAGCAATATTACTCACTCTATTGTTTGTTTTCATTATTATGAATCTATATATAAAATTATAATATCTTGACTTCAACATTATTTTTCTGAATACAATATATGTATATATATATTTTTTTTTTCTAGGAGAAATCTTAATATTTTTTCATGTGTTGGTATAAATGAAACGCTAAAATATGTAAACAATATAAAAACTAATTTCTCTAACTTCATATGTGTGTGACTACACGCTTTTGTTTGAAATCTAGAATTTATCACCTTCTAACAAATAGAAAAAAAATGTCACTAGTACAGTAGTTACTTCTTACTATTGATGGTTACATTAATATATATACATATATGTACGTAATATATTACACCATCCATACACACGACACAATATTGTCACTATCACAACGTGGTTGTATCTTTTGCCCCTCGATACGCACAGTAAAGCAAAGAAATAAAGCCTTGGTATATGTGTGCATGATAGAGGAGAAAAGTATGCTGAACTAGAATGACGAGCACACAATCATTCACATTTTTTTGTAATATATAATCTACAATAACAACAAAAGACAGTAGCTATATAATGGTTTCTCTCTTCTTTCTTTCCACATTGCAAAAACGGTTGATCAGACAGAAGTAATAATTAATTTTATGAATGGTGGATATAATCTATGAAGAAAATCTATTTTAATGAAGATAATATACCAAACACCCCAATGACATATTAAAAAGAGAAAGAAGAGAAGAGATGAAATAAAATAAAAAAACATGAACCGTCATAACAGTAGAACAGTGCTCAATACAAACAAACTCACTCAAAGTGGTGTACAAAGTTTAGTTGAACAAAAATCTCATTCACTTGTTTTAAAAATTGAGAAAAATGGTGTTATGTTAGAAAATAATATACATTATGGATATAATGGGACAACAAAAATCATGTACAATATGATTAGAAATGGAAAACCGGGAATGTTGTCATCTCAATTTCATCTTCCACCATATAATTATTATTCATTGTATTGCTCAAAAACATTTGTTAATGTGATTAACAAGCATCTACAAAAAACTCAAAGCAACCGTTATCAGAACAACAGACATTTACACTCCTACGTTCATAAAACGCCAAGGAACAAATATTTGTCGAATAGTAAATATAATGATAGCACCGATGTAATGTACAAAACAGAATCTTATCTTAAACACCGTGATTCAATCAAGTATTATCAACAATCAATCTATAGTGGTTCATCTGATGATGATGATGATGATGATGTTGATGATGATGGCAGTGGTGATGATGATGAAGATAAAGTGTTCCCATGTTTTACTAGAAATATCAATAATCCCACTAAAGAAGATGATGAACTTGAACGCACTTTGTCGTCCGTTGAATCCATTCATGCTTCATTAAATAAATGTTTATTATTATCATATGATAAAGTGTTTCCATTTCAATATTCAGATAATAACAATTTAATGGGACTATTTTGTGCCAATAATCATAGTGAATATAGGAGTGATGATGATGATAGCAGTGTAACATCGCAAATTGATAAACAAAATGATCTAACAACTCAAATGTCAAGTTTATTTGAAAATCGCTTTTCCGATACGGACAATGATGAACTTGATTGCGATGATACGGTACATCAAGAACAAGATGATCAACTTCAATGGCATCATAATTATCAGAATAATGATGAAGATTTAAAAACACTATTAAATGATTATCTAGTAGAAGACAAACAAAATTTAACTAAACTTGAAAAACGTCATGGTGACGGATGTGATAGTGGCTATTCTTCCCAAAATTTTTCCATTTATAATCATATTGAAAATGAACCAGAAATAGAAGCCAATAAACCCCCATCTAGATCAAGAACAAGTGCGTGTTCACCTAGACGTCAATATCCGTTCAAAAAATTGAAATATACAAGAATGTCTTTAGAAGAAATTACTCAACGATTAAGGATAACAAATGCAAATAAATTTTCTAAGCAAATGACTGTTGATTAAAGCATGAAACTGTTATTCATGTAACAACTATATTTGCTACAAAATTTAGTAACATTTCTCAATAGGATCTTAAAAATCTGTCTTTAAACTATTGTCAGATATACCGTAATAAGCATCTGATGTTAAAGAAAAAAACTTTGCTAATGACAATTTGTTTTTTAGTGATGATCTTTCCTATTTCTGTTTTTCAATACACTGTGATAAACTTTTTTGACTGAGAACGATATTATTCCGTTCAATATCAATTCTTTACCTTATTCAAAGAAACTAAACTTTTTAAAGATTCTTTTAAATGAGACATAACAGACTTCTAAATGATTTCTTGCGTATTTTCTAATAGAAAACATTATAGATAGTCACATTACAAATGGAGTGCGGGATATAATTAGACTCATAGGCCGATTGATTTTTATCCATGAGAGTAGCTAGAAATTGTCAACAAAATCGTTTATTTTCGGTGACTGGATATTTTTTAAGTTTTCTTTATGTTTCTATTAACCATTTATTTTCTTCGATGATATAAGAAAATACAAACCTGACAAACGTAAAAAGCGTGAATAGTGATAAATGAGGTTGTAGAAAAACACATTGTCCGTTCTCACCTAGCATATTTTGCATACTTTTTCGAGAGGAATTATAGTACTAAAATCGTCAGGGATTAAGGGTGTCACTAACAATTCATCTGTCGGCAAAAAGTCTATTAGTTTTCTATAGAAACTACATTAAGTGAGACATACTTTTGTATAATACTTTTTCCAAAAATCAACAAAACTACCAATGATAGAATATAGGTCACTGATTATATGTTTACTGCTGAATGATTCAACATGACATTACCATTTTGACTGTACAGTCTTTTGATGATTCATATCATAGTAAACGCACTAAATTGAATGCTACCAGCAATGAAATATTTATGCAGAATATCATTTCTGAAATAAATAGTATCATTGTAATAAGCGACGTTGATAAATTTACACTGTAATATAAAATCAGTTTATAAATCATAGTTAGAAAGGAAACTAATCCCGATCAGTTAGATCTATGTTTGAATGAGAATATGAAGGATCATCTTGAAAACAATTGAGTTATATATTTTTGTCGTAAGAGAAGAATAATCGTTTAAAGCAGTCAGTTGTCTATTAGACAATCAACAGATCGCCCATGATAACTTCAAAACGTTGTCGCTATTTTTTCAACTTTCTTTTATTAATAGATAGATTAATTCCAATTTTAATTAAAGAAAATGATAAAGTTCGTGAGAAAATTTCGGAATCACTTTCGAATTGTAGACATGACTTCAAAGATGAGCAAGGCGACGTAAATCCATCAGCAAAGTTAATTCTTCAAGCATTGGTCGGCACTAGTTGGTATTAGTGCAAAAGTTTCCTTTAGGAAGACTGACTTACACTTCAGATTATAGGTCTGCACTGATATGTTTTTTTATTCAGTAGTTTTTACACTGTTACAAATTTTATTTACTTTTCAGTGAATAAGACCATTTTTCTCGCCTCAAAACGTGATTCAGACACTTTTTTCTTGTCTTTACATCTTTCGAATTGGAAAAAATGTCTAAGTCACATTATCAATCGAGTTACATGCAATGTCCAATATTAAACAAATCTAAAAAAATATATTTACACACTGAGAAAAAAAGACTTGACGTAATAGATACACATACATAACAATAAAATATGTATATAAAAATATAAAGAAAATCAATATAAAAGTGCATAGCACCAGGAGAAATTCTGTAAAAATACTATCATACAACATGGACATTCCTCTATATGTAGCAAAAAACAAAAACGAAAGCTTGACTAATAAGCTAGAGATAAAAAAAATAACATTGAGAGCAGGCGTTTATCTGTATGAAATAAGATAATCCGCGTAAGCGGCCGCATCATGATAAACAACAAAAATCGCTTTCCCATCCGTTGTTGTATCGCAACCTGGTGGTGGAAATTTTTGTCCTTGATTACCAATTGCAGTCTGTCCAATTAAAACACGAGCCAAAAACATTGTTCGCTCATTATTTAAATTTGGCCTTGAATATTCATGAGAATAACGTGCATTTTCCGAAAAATAAACACCACATCCATATACAACACCTTCAAACAAAGAATGATAATAAATGTAGAACATACACAAGATTTATACAGAAATACAAAAAAATTATAATGAATTATGTGTAGCAATGTCAATTTATTACATAATCGTATTCGTCTAGCGATCGTTATTTACTCATTGCAAATCAGTTCCGCTTACAATCACACAAGAAATAAACATTTAGACGCATGAGGCACATCTGACTTACAATATTTTAAAACAATTTTGATCAATCGATCCATTTGGGTTGCATTGGAAAAGGAGGGTTACACCTGAGAAGGTTCTCTCGTTGTCAAATCAATATTTTTGATCTAGAAGATAATTATACTTCACCATAACTTACCATTTATACCAGCAAAACTTCGATTAAAACATTCTTGTATTATTTTATCAGCAGATACATTTGGGCAACCATGAAATAATAATTTTTCATTTATCATATTTTGTTTATTATATCGTTGATCAAATTCATCACGATGTGCTGCGTATTGCTTAAACCACCGTTCATTTTGTATTCGTTCTATTTTTAATATTTGTGAATAATGACCAATCATTGTTACGTTAAATTGACTTAAAACACTAGCATATTCTGATGTTGTTGACTGTAATTGAATACGTCGGCAATTGACATCAGATACTTCCCAATTCTACAAAAAGAATTAAAAGAAATTAAACGATATACAAACTTTAAAGCAACAACATACATCTGGCAAATTTTGATTTATTTGTTTTCGTCTAATTAATCGTATTCGTTTTAAATATTCTTCATTCATTTGATCTTTTGTAAAATGAATACGAATATTTTCCAAATGTTCATTCGTTAAATCAATCTAAATGCAAAAATTACATGCGATCATTTTTTTTCTCCAAAAAAAAAATTAATAATTTACATTTGAAAGCTTCTTTTGATAGGCATCTTCAATTTCAGCATTTAATTTATACGAATACTGTTCCCATTCACCTTCGTTTATTTCAACTAACCAAATAATGCCACGTGATACTGCCTAGTATATAGACGATACAATGATTATACAAATAATAATTTAAACACCAATTAATAACTCGCCTGTTTACGTGCTGTTTTTAATGTATCTGCTACTAATTCGTAATAATACTTTTCAGCTTGATCTACACTATCTTTTGGACCATTTAATTCTAAATTACCTTGTTCAATATCTAAATTTGGTAATATTTTTTTTCTTAAACAATATTGATAATATTTATTGACTGTTAATTGTGACCAATCTTTTAAATCATGTTTATCAGTCCATTTCAATTTTGATGAACAATTTTTACTTAATTGTTGAATTATATGACGACATTTTGTCATGTTTATTTCGTTTGAACTTGTCAGTGTTATTTTGACAACTGAAAAATCAACATGATTAAGAAAATATCAGTTCTATGTACGTCAAAAAAAAAAAATGTGAAAAAATTTCCAGTAATTACTGATGTGAGAGGATATTGAGTATAGACGTCAATTCTTCTGTTTATTTGTAACAGACTGCAAAAGTTTTACAAACATGAATTTCTGAAACATACCTTGTTGCTCAAACATCATTGTCATCGATGAAGATAAATTTACATTTGTTTTGGGTGTGATAATCGAGAATAAAGTTTGATTTATATGTTTAATTTTGAGTTTATTCAACTTCTGTAAAAATTCATTGTATACAGATTGTTGTTCAGGTAATAATACAAACGATATTGACATATTTTTTCTACGTTTAGATAACTGTTGTTCAGCTTCATGCATCATTGTTTCGGCAATAATATCGGCTGCTATTCCAAACTTTCCACAACCAATTGCTGGAAAAGCTAGAAAAAATAATAATAAAGAAACATTTTAAATAAAAGTTAAGTTAAAATGATCAAATTTTTTCTTATACCTACCAATACTAGTATAATTGTTAGCACATGCATAAGTAACTGCTTCTGAAACAAACAGAGAAATTGACTGTCGTAAAATAACTGGATCTTGTATTTGTGGCAACCATGGAATAAAAAGAATTTTCTTACAGCCCAACATCCCAGGTGATGTTGAGATTAATTGATTTTGTTGTGTTACATATTGTGATGAAAATTCTGTTGCTACTTGCTTTCCAGCCGAAACAATCACAGCATTTCTTAATATTTCTGATGTTGAACAAACAACAATAATATCATCCTAAATTGATTAAATAATGAAATAAAATTTAAAAATATGAAATTTTTGGTAAATGTCTACCTTTCGTGTTATTAAATCGTCAAGATAAATAGAAATTGTTCCCATTTCTATAGGAATACTTGTTAATAATTTTGTTTGTTGAACAGAGACTCCTTTTCGCGTTTTTAACACATCGATATTTTCATCATCAGTGACATGAGATGTTGGAATTTTTATTGGTATTTCTGTTGTTTCTATTTTCATATCAAGAAAACATCGACAATCATGTGCTTTTTCAATTAATTGTGATTTTGTAATTAAAGTAGAAAAACCCCAATCATTTATCTCAAATGTTGATGTTACCACTTGAGCATATTCTAATAGACGTAATTTTAAATTTTCATGCATATTCAATGGTGCTAATATTTCATTATTTCGTAATTTTAACATTATTTTTACACCTTCTGATCTATGTTCTCTATCTAATAATTTTAGTTCTTGATTACAAATATATAATAAATAATTTATCTGAAAAAAAAATAGAGAAAATATTACAATTCACATTGTTAGAATATCAAACATAATACCTGATTTGGATTCAATGATAATTTACATAATTTTGGTTCATGTTCTATTTTTAAATTTTCAAATGTTGAATGTAATTCTTTAACAATGTCTGTTAATCCAAATAAATAGATACATTTATATTCAGATATAAAACAAATATTTTTATTATAATCTTGACGATTACGTATATTTTGTTTAAGTTTTTCCCATTTTTGTTCCAATTTTGATGATGATATCGTCTGATATGATGTTGTTGCTGATAAAAATACATTTCGAATTATTTCATTTATTCTTGTTTCATCTACACCAAATTGAGCATTTTCTCGATGAAAAAAATACACAGTGAGAGAAGTTTTTGAATGAATACAATGACATAGAATATTTCGACTATTCATCAGATGTTGAATAACATGAGCGGAATCCGGCATTTTTGCCCATTCATCTAGTAGAAAAAAGAGAGAATAAGATACAAATTTTAGAAGAATACGATTCGGTAATAATTAAAACTTGCCTTTTGTTTCAACAAACACTTTTGTTTGTAATAATGAAAATAATTTATCAATAGCTATTTGAGCTGACGAAACATTGTCTGATCTACCACTAATTATGATTGTAATACGAGAAGTTGATTGTTTTTGTTGTTCATCTTCAACATGATGACGCTTAATTATACTTTTAACATTAAATGTTCCTTGAAGATAATTTTGAAATCGTTCTTGAAATAATTTGATTGAAAAAAATTGTACATGTACATGAGTTTCAATCGAATATTGTATCGATTCAATTGAAGATGACTGAGCTACAGTTATCGGGTTTATTCTAAGAAATAAAGAAAGAGATATAGAGTTTTATAGAATAAGTTTAATTAATTACTTTTTCTCAATTTCTCTTATATTACGATTTGGTGGATGATCTCGAACCGATAGACTAGATGATGGAATTTTCGATCTAAAAAATTAATCAACATAAGTCAGTCTTTCTTAAACATTTTTTTTATCCATAAAGAGAAATGTCAAATATCATTATAAATAAAGCTACTTTTCAGGTAAATATTCATTTGTAGATCGCTAAAGTAGACTCAAACTTACTGTTCAATATCCTTTGCTATTGGCAGTGACAATGACGTTTGCCGAATCGTTTGAAATTCATCATTGATGCATGTTACTAATTTTTCCGCTAATCGTTCTTGTTCTTGTTTTTGACCAATAATTTGTCTTTTTGATGTTGATAAATCGTATAAATATGGAAAATATCGTTGAATAATATTCCGTTTACCAATTATTTTATAAATATCTTTTGAACTATTATTAGCTGATATTTTTTGATAAAATATTTGAAATGAGTTTTCTTTTAATAAATTTAATTTATCTATTGATGGTGCTTGTAATTGTTTATAATCAAACATTTGCATAAATATATTTGTTTTTTGAGATAATTGAGATCGTGTTTTACTATTTAAATTTTTGTTTGTAACTCTTGAATCATTAATTTCTACATCAAAACCCAAATAAGATTCTAAATATCGAAGATATTTTCTTAAGAGAAAATGAAATATAGATCGAAAACATACTTATATATTGTTTATATTCAATTAGAAATGTTGAATGAGTTAAAACTAGCATCCAGTTAGGTTTCAATATGATAAAAAGTTGTTTAATTTGTTTTACAGGAGTGATGATTGTTGTATCAGATAAATTTTTTCTTGAATCAATTGAAATTTGTAGTTTTGTATCTGAATTAATATCATCTTCAACGATATGAAGAACAGGTTTGATCAATACACCAAATTGTTTTTCAAATTCATCACTTCGGGAAATCCATTGTTTTAAAACTATAAAAAAAAGCAACTGTTAGTTTATTGCACGTTTGTATCGGATGAGGTCCTGCTGTTATAACCTATGGCTACTATGCCGTTTGTTTGCTCAAATTTTAGCGGAGAACTGCCTCCACGCAGAATCACACAACATATAGATAGAAAATCAACATATACGGAAAAAAAACGTTTATCGTACGATAATCATGCAAAAGGTAAACGTTTTTTTTTTACGAACCTTCTGAATTCATCAGTTCAATAGTAGCATTTGTTTTATCAATTGTCAACATAAAAATATCTGACCATAATGATAAAAACATTTGTTTTAACAAATCTAATGTAAATAATTTTGATTCTTTTGTGTTCTTTTCATTCAACAATAATAAAATTGTATCTGATTCATAACATTCTCCAACAACAACATCATTATTTTGTAATTTATTCTTTAATGAATGTAATTTGCGTAATTTATTAAAATCTAAATAAAAAATTCAAATCATGTTTTAAGATTTAATTGAAAAAGAAGAAGCAGAAGAAGAAGAAGCGAAAAAAAATACAAAACATTTACCGACTACTTCTTCACAATTGATTAAGAAAATTTGTTTACTCCTATCATTTGTAATATCTGTAATAATTCTTTTCTTATTTTCAATTAACATATCAATATATAATTCTAATCTCAACAAATCAATTCGTTTGTCTGTTATGATAATTTTTAATATAAAACAATATTTATCAATTGGTTGTAATGTACGTTTGAGTTTTATTTCAATATTTCCATACCGTAAGAATGAATCTATCAATAATTTATCGATAGCTAAAAGCAGAACAACACCATTGAATCAGTTTTCTCTAAAAAGCTAAATCATTGTCAAACCACTATTCTGAATAAACTAAAGTAGATTTATATACATATAAGCAAAATAAAATCTAGTAGAAATAACTGTCTCTTTTGTTAGTTTTAGGTAAATTGAAGTAAAACTTACAATCTTTTGTCTCTAATTCAACTGTAAATCGTCGAAAAATATCATTATTTATTTCATTAAATATTTGTTGAACACGAAAACCTTTATTAGTCAATATTAATTCCACAATTTCTTTATCTACTAGTGGAGCGTCTTTTTCTCCTGGCAATACAATATCCAATTGATATTCAATATTTTGTGTGATTTTTACAGGAGGATGGTGAGAGTTATTCTTAGCATTGAAAGCATAAAACGTTGGGCTGTCCTCATCACCGTCATAAAAAGGCACCCTTCTGGTTCTTCTTGATCTTCTTGGTCGTCGTCGATTTGAAGAAGCACCACGTCCACATTGAAAATCAAATGATGTATGGGTAATTCGATTTTGTATAACTCTTGTATTTCCACGTGCTATTCTACAACCTCGATTAGTGCCTTGTTGAAATGTTGTTGGAATTGGTTGAGTTTGGTTTTGCCATTGAACAATGGTAACATCATTTCCTGTTGCTATTGAATCGAGTAATGGAGGACCAACAGATGGGCCAAAATCTATAGCCGATTGATCACGTGGCGATATTGAAACAGATGTTAGCTAAATTGAAATTAAAGCTCATTAGTAAGCTGCATGTATTTGAAAAAGGAGTATATTTTGTCTCAATATGAAAACATTGTAATTTTAGTTACCAACCTGTTTATTAAACTGTGCAAATTGAAGTATATTAATTAGCAGAAAATGATCTAGAATATCACAGTTGTTTTGTTTCAATATTTTCAAATTTTGTTCAATTGCAAGAAGTGTGTGAGGGAAATTACAACTTTTTTTGGAACAATTTGGAATAAAAGGACATATATGCAAACGAGGACATTGAGAAGATTTACACAAACCAAGAGTAAAATTTCGACATAATTGAATCTAAAAAAAAGTTGATAAAAATATAAACCGGACTATATTTTACAAAAGAAAACAAATATACCTTTGGCCTTAAAATTATTTGATAAGAATCATCGTTATGAGATTGTAAATGGAATAATGATGGTGATAGTTTTAATATTTCTTTTCGAACACATTCCGTATAGCATTTGATACCACGTGAAGTTAGTGACTGACTGATTAGTAAAGCAGATAATTCAGTTTTTCGCTGATCAAGAAATATTTTTAATATCTCATCTTGAATATTCATTTTTTTACATTTATCAATGTGTATGAGAATTAATCAGAATAAAAATAAAAAAAGTTATAAACTATGATATATCTAAAATTGAGAAAACATTACATAGTTACATTCTTCTACAAATTACAGTCATTACACGGCATATCCAATGTACGTGAAACATCGACTTTCCAAGCATAGTTAGAACTATGCTTGGAAACATGGTCTGTGTAAAAGGCTAAGTGGGGAACACGAATGTTTTGATCTCTTATTTTTTTCTGTTTATAAATCAAAATGTTTTATCTAATAAAGTAATCATTTTTGTATTTTTACTATGTATTTGTTCAGTTTTAGTAAACACCAGTTTGTTTGGTCTAATAAAAGATTTAAGGGTTAAGGATTTCTGATAAAGATAAAGCATTTTCTCGATTAAAAAGATAAACAGTGAGAGTATTATTTCGTTATTTGATACTAGACAACATAGGGGCGTAGCTAACATCTCAGAGTAGAGGGATGACCCTGCCAAAAAAAATATTTTTTTGAAGAACGAAAGACACGAAACAATAACTTTTCTTAAATCAGGGATGTGGTAATCACCCCTCACCACTACCCAGTAGGTACATCCCTGAGATAGCATGCGCTTAAAATGTAAATGGATGTGGATTTCGGACCCCGGCTCCAGGTGGTTTTCCAGAGGTATTTAAGAAAACCATCAATCCAAAAACTGAAAGACTACGTAAATATTTAGATTTACTACTTACAAGAGATAGTCCCATCACGAAATGTGCGCGCTACAATTATACCTCGTTAAGAAAGGTTTTGGTTATTTTTTAGTTTCTGAAAACCTGGTTTTCCAGAAAACCGGATTATTCAAGAGCCATGGGGGAAAATGCTTTATGCCATCGTAATCAGCTCGTCGAGCTCTACAAATTAGGATATGTCCCATTGAAAAATGAGAGTAACATTTGGGGACCTTCCCTCGTTAGATATATAATAAGAATCAGAACTGAAGTCACTCCAGTATATTTTAGTTCTGAAAAATGTATCCGTTTCTCGACTAGAATTGCGTGGATAGTGATTTCAGTCATGAAACAGATTCTTAAACGTCTTGAGCTGATTCTTAATGCTTATCGCCTCATCCTGATTCCTTCAGAGTGCTGTAGTCCGTTATACTTCAGTTCTCTCAAATTGTCAGAATTACAAAAGTTGTAAAATTATAGCGAAAGTTTAATTTTTTAAATTTAATTCTCGAGCGTTCTTTATATTGAAATTACACCCGAGCTGCTGGAATAACAATGACCTGTTTAGGAAATCAGAAAGTGAATCGGTCGGACTATGGGCGACAAATGCAGTTTCAAAAAATGAAAGCTTTGAGGGTGAAACGTCTGCCAATATAATATGAAGTCGGGCAGTCCTATTATTTTATTAATCTCTTGAATGCCGTTATTTTTCCTCTTACGCGTCGCGTCCAAAGGCATGCATATGTAAAAAAACGATTAAATATCTTTCTTTGTGTTCTGTTGTTTTCGTGGCAGGTGTTCCTCTGGCAGTTTTTTTTTCGTTAAATCGATCGAACGAAAAAGCATATGCAACATATAAAATTTCCATCATGTCATCTATAGATGCCTTACGGCATTCAAGAGGTTAACTCAAGCGTTTCTATATTTGTGTAGAGGATGTAGCGTAATCCATTATGTATCTTAAAGAAAAATCGTGAATACAACTTGTGTTCAGAATCAGAGTTGGATTCGCAAGACCTAATTAGATTCTTGACTGAAAAAACTGATTTCAGAAACGCCCAGGTATATACATCTAAATGTTGTCTAGCGAACACGAGAAAACAAAATGATAATAGAAATCTAGCAAATAAAGAGATAAGATATCTCATGTGCGGACATTTTTTCGTCTCAGTATGTCAAAAGAAAAGAAGTTTTTTCTATCGATGCGTTCTGTTAAAGAACGATAGAATAATGCATATGCGAAAAGAACTATCTCCCTATTTGCTAGTTCTCTAATAAAGGAAGGAGTTACACCCACAATAAAAAATTACATCGGTTTTCTTATTTATAAATTTGTCATCTGTTGCTTCATTTAAACCGTGTTCAAACTACAATAAGTCCAAATAAGAATAAATTTAATTAAACTCTAAACAGATACATCTGAATAGTGAAAAATTATATTCTGACTTATTCATTGCAGTCTGAACGCGGTTCTAGAAATAAAAATGGAACCAGAGAAGCGATTCTGCGACGTAAGCACTATGAAACAAGAGCCAACCGAATTATATACTCTCGTCCTAGCATGCGTACGTGCTTGTATACACCCTAGGACGAAAGTGTGTGGTTAAAAAGCTTTGGAGTTTACTTTTCAGAAACATTTGCTCAGGTAAATTAAGTCCTACTTCGCTGTATTGCACAATTCTGATTCGATCATATGATTGGAAATGATCTTAAAATAAATATGAGAAAGACTGAT